TACCAATATCAACTTACAGTAACGACATGGATATCCAGTATTTGTTTATCGGCTTACTCTATGAATGTCATCTCATAGGCTGTAATCGAATCGTCTTCATCCATCTCATAGGGGATTTTAGGACGGGATCTTTCAGCTTGATGTATCTTCGTACTAGTGTTGGTTTCCGCATTAGGGCTAGAAACGAGTACTCCCTGAAGGGATAACAGTTCTAAATAAGTAATTACATGTAGAACACAGCAGGCGGAATCCCGTTACACCTTAGACTTTTCGATACCAGAATACCGCAGATGCAACACTTTTCGCTGTGATAATAAATGATGCACGTTTGCATCCCTGAAGCTTACAGGTGCACATGGCTCAGGGTAGAAGCAGTCATGATATTTAGGTTTACAGCTTCTCACCCACTAGGTATAGCTTAGCCTTTAGCATGGTCGTACAGGGCATATTAATTCTTAACACAATACAGACACCAGAAAGTCCAAATCCCACCGTTTCTGGAAAAACACAAACCTCCCATATTTTCAAGAAGATAAATGAAAATCTTATTCGATAGACTTTACTGAAAAATATATAAAGATGTGTAACACAGTGTCTACGAAGAAGCTTTTTTGACTTCCAACCACACTTTTCAGCTCTCCAATCTGTAATAAAATATAAGACTGGCAAACGATTAGTTAACACAGCCCATGAATTATTTGGTGACTCGAAATATTTATACACACAGTAAGGTGCATGTTGTTGAACAGACATGAAAATAAGTATGAAGTTTTAAGCAGTAAATAGTGCCATCTATCATACATGATTTCAACAGTAAAAAACTTATTTTATGTAATGCTTGGTAGAGGCTATTTGTAACAAGGGTGAGTAATTCGTTGGCACTCTGAAACCAAGTGATGTTAGAACCAACAAATCAAGTTTTAAGAAACAAGCTTTAACCATAGGCAGCACAAGACTCACGCGCTAAACCACAACTCATTGGCTGGCTTTAAGGTCTGGTCCATAGGGAAATGGAGCAATGCTGATAGTGACAAATATGAAATATTCATAAGGCCTTGATTTCCCCTGCAAATCAGATTTCTTTGAAATAAGTGTTTCGAAGTGGGCCAAAGTGGGCGTCCCCTTGGAATCAGAATCCAAGAACATAAATCAGCCGTGAAAAGACATGATATGTATTCTTTAGTATCAATGCATACAGACAATTATGGTCATCAATTTGATTGGGATCATGTCAAAATCTTAGATAGAGGAAACACGAAAAGTGCCAGAGAATTCCTAGAAGCCTGGTACTCAAGCGAAAATGCAATTAGCAAACACGTTAATATAGATGAAATATACCAACTAATAAAAAGTAAATCAGATGACCAAAAAGTTTAAAATCCAAGTCAATAGAAAGTCGTCAATACATATGTAAAGACAGTTACCAGGAGATGCAATTACATCACTCATGAAGAAATTTAAATCATTTCACTTTGTGCTAAATATGGCTCTGAAGATGTTGTCCAGAAGGACGACGAAAGCTTCGCAACCGAACCAACCAGCTCAGAGAACACTATTAATTGCAAGTGTTTCGAAATCTTATTGCAGTCAGTGACTGTCAGACTTTCACAACGTAAAGGCATTAAAAATGGTTTATTTCATCGGAACAATAAATAGGCTAAAAAGCGAATCTTTCGTCACAAGACTCCCGACCGATGGCTGCTCCCTTGACATGGTGGTCGGGCTTGCATATCGCAATGACCCAACAAGTCATTGTGACTGGAAATAATGTCCCTGCAGGTCCTACCATGCCAGGAAGAATGTTAGGATAGCGATTAGACTAAGAGGAGTTACCGGCATAGTGTAAAATTTAGTCTACACTATGGTGGTGGTCTGTGGGCAAAGTCGCAGTGCTGGAGAATAGGGTTGTACCAGCAGTTAGGTGTTACCCCCAGATGATCGGCATGCCAGCCACCTATGCTGTCTCTCCACTCTGGAGAAGAGGGTTAGAAGATGTCGACCCCTAAAAATTTTACATCCCAAATTGCCCTACGATGGTCTGTAGGTGGCAGTAGGTTACTTATATGGAACCAAATCGAAAAGACAGTTCAGACAGGTCGTGTGTGACCGGCCTCAAGAAGTTGTTCCCGTTGGCTCTGAGGTCACGCAACACCATCTCTTTTTCTGTTTCAGGTACTCCAAGAACAAATCGACTTCCACGGTGTAGGCAGCCGGGAATTAACAACCGTACACACACTTCCAAAAGCACACGAAGCCCTCCTGATCATCCTCCTCCTTTATCCACATCACCTCCCCATATTGCCTCCTTACTACTGTCAGTACTATTCTGTAGGCTAGTCAGTCATCTTCATTTCATTCTGGGCTACCGATATCACATGCTGGAAATCCCATAGTTGTACCGTAATACAGAGTGAAATCAAGCTAGAATAAAAAAACTAACTAACGACGAAGATCAGAAAAGCACCCTGATAACCTCTTGAAGTCACGCCACCAACTTCATATTGCGTCGTTTAATGTCAAGATCCTCTGCCAAATCAGTCACCAGGCATCACTAGCCAGAACTCTCGCATCTCGGGCCATAGATGTATGTTGTGTTTCGAAGACACGCATACAAGAACCGAGTATGGTTATTCACTTATCCCCACCCGACCAACAGGGTGAATCTTCAAAATTCACCTTTAGTGTGTCAGGAGACTCCTCAGCTGGCTTGCGAGGACTCACGTATGTAGGGACAGCAATAAGTGTTAGGGCAGAAAATCACTTCTCGGCTGGATCCCAGCAGATGGTCGTATGTGGGCAGTCCGTCTGAACGGGTGTGTTAGAAGAAGGAAAGACGGCGTTACCCATCGATGTCTTTTCGTAGTCTCCGCTTACGCCTCAACAGACTGCAGTTCGGATGAATTAAAGGATGGCTTCTACCGGAAACTGTCTAGTTTGCTGAGTCTCTATTTAAGGAAGAGATAGCTAAATGGGTAACTGAGGTCGACAGCGACAGCAGGACTCCTCCTGAGGAAGCCTGACACAAAATACAGTTAGATATAGGCACAGCTGTAGAGGCTGTTAATAACCTGAAACCGAAGGTTATTAATAGCCAGTGGATTTCTACTACTTGATCCAAACTGACAGACGCAAGAAGACTGATTCCGGCGAGTTTCGAATATGCTGAGGAGTGAAAGGTGCTCAAACGCAAACTAACAAGAAGTCTTCACAACGACTGGGACCAGTGGTAAGCGATAAAAGCGAAAGAGATGGATAGGTATAGGTGATAGGCAACACCAGACAACTGTTTAGACTTATCAGGAGAACAGGTGGGTAACGGCAAACGATAAGTGAAGCAATCTTCGAGAAAAATGCCACTACAATTAGCTCTCAAGATGGACGTTTAAAACGTTGGGAAGGACACTTTGAGGAGCAAGTTAACAGGCCTACAGCCACGCCCAACTTACCCTGCATCCAACACCTCCCTGAATGGGATATAAACACAGGTCCTCTGTCTCTAACTGAGGTGACGAAGTCTGGAACGAGGCAAACAGCGAGACAAGGGGATAATCTTATTGACTTAGAATATGCAGATGATATAGTCCTTCTAGGTGAAGACGCTGAAAATATGTAGTCTTCTTAACACCTTGAGGAGTAATCTGAGAAGGTTTGGCATGCGATTCGCTCCTTGAAAATGTAAGATGATGGTACAGGACTGGACTACGTCGACTACTTCTCTCTTAGAGATAGGGAGTGAAGTATTGAAGCGTGGTAACCACTGCAGTTATTTGGGAATTTGCATCAGCCAGTGCCAGTGGGTTGATTGCTGACGAAATGTCAGCACGGATACAGAAGGCTTGTTTGGCATATGCCAAAGTACACCATCTCTGGCTTAGTAGACGTGATATCCGGCTGTCGCTCTGTCCTCCTTTATCTCTGTGAGTGAGGCATGGCCATTGGAAGTGGAAGACATGAAAAGCCTGACTAGCTGTCTTTGATCATATGTGCCTGCGTCCTGTTTTCCGTGTTAAGTGGTATAACAGGATGAGCAATATTGATGTTAGGCTTCGGTCGAGGGCGAGGTAAGGAGGGGAGATCTACCGACGAGGCTATGGAGTTACATCGATTGAGATGGTTAGGATATGCGTTACGCATGCAAGGCCCAACTATCGATCGCCTTCCTCGACAATGGGCAATGTTAACTGACATAGGATGGATCAGGTTGGAAAAGAGCTAGTGGTGGTCAAAGTAAAACACATGCCATCAGTCAATGAAATCCATAACAGTTAGTTTAAGGCAATCACTTAAGGAGGTGTAGACTTTATGGTTGTGGTCCTCGGAATGGCAAAAACCAATCAGTGATATGGCTCGAAATCGTTCTCAATGGCTGCGGTAGATGCGTGATTTATAATATCCAATATAATTTTATTGTTTTTCTACATTGCTGTTATTTTCGCTTCATATTTCTGTTTATTACCTCTCTTTCGAATCTCTCTTCAATATCTTTTCTTGCTTTGTGTGCTACATGGAATGTAGCAACTCGAACTGCCGCACATCTGTGCAAAGTTCTATGTTGAAACCAGTCAGAAGACTGGATCCTAACCACTTTTAGTCACCTATATGTATATATACAAGAAGCAAACCAATCGACCACTTACCATCAGCCACCAAAACAAAAAATTAATACGACTTTCTAAGTAGAGGACATGTCGGTTGATCAATAATTTTGAATGAAGACCAATATGAATATAATGCAGTAGTAGCATTCTGCCACTGAACCCGTGGCTTTTTCTAAAGGTTTGAAATGCTACAAAGCATCGACTAACTCATCGATGAATTATGAAAAAAGATTAAATCTAGTCCTATCAGTTCCCCCTCCCCTCGCCTATAATCTTTGTCTTACGACACTATGTCAATAAGAAATAAATACCCACCTGTCTCCGTCGACACTTGATGGGTAAACTAGTGAATTGGTGAAAACAAAACAATAACAATAAGCATACCAAAATCATTATTAAAAACGCACACTACATGTTTTCTGGATGTAAGATAATTATTTATACAATAAGCAAAGAATGAGCCAAACAAACACAAACAAGTCCACGGTGTTCGTAATAGGTAAGAAAAAGAAGTTCCATTTCGTTTGTTACACAATCAACTATGACGTCGAAATTCTTTGAGCGCACAAATTCTAAGCAGTCAGGACAGTGTTTACTATAGACATACATATATATATCGGCGTCGGCTCTATAACAGCCATGAAACAGAGAAAGAAATTAAAAATAAAATTTGAATATTATATGTAGAAATCACTTCAAAATAACGAAACAAATCAATGTAAATCACTAAAATTATCATCTTGTTTTTGTACATATTTTTCAAAAAATTCAATTAAAAATCAGTGAAAAAGGAAGTGTGAACAACAGAAACAACAGCAACAACAACAGCCATAAGAACAGGAATATAAATATAAGCGTAAAACAAGTGTAGTCAGGATCTATGTGCATGAATGCAGCAAAATGAGAAGGAATTCACATGGATCAGAAGTAATTCAGAAGACAATTTACACACTTGAACTGATAGTTCGCTTTAGATTTTTATAATGATAAAAAAGAGAAAGAGATTCTTCACATTTCAGATAGATACATAGATAGACAGTTTAACAAAATCTCCATTATATTTAACTCAACACATAAAATCGGTAGCGATAGAAAGTTGGCTTGATAAACTACTCTTACGTAGCAAGGCGCTTGCTTTATTATGAAAAGTGATAAGATATGAGATGAGTAGAAGCTGGTAGATACACAAACACACATGTGTACGCCCGTATCCATTTTACATGATGCTCTTTTATTCTCACAGGGATAATAAATAAGGGGAGAGAGAGAGAGAGACAGAAAGAAGAATAAAAGGACAACTCTGGTTAACTCTAGATAACATAGATGTACAGAAGGACGACAGGAAAATCAGACCAAAAGGACTGATAACCCCACATAATGGCTAGACGAGAAAAGAAACTGTTGAGTTTTATGATATAATAATACAATCAAGGGATGTATTATCATATAGATGAGTTTGAGAATAAAACAAAACTGAAGACGAGAAAGCAACGTGTGAAAAGGTTAAATAAATCTCCACGAATCAAGCACGAAAATTCAAGCATAACAACGATTATTGAAAACATTAGCAAGAACAACAGCCTTACTCTTGTCCACTTCAAAATCTGTACAATAAGAGATACCATCATATCAAGAATATGCAAATATTAAAGTTGAAAAGATAATTCAAAAATAAAGATAAGCTTGCGTAAATACATACACACATGGAGGGAGAGGAGTAGATTCTCCAGAATGATTAGTTCCCATTTTGGGAAGTATGAATAAATCAATGAATATAATAATATTGACATTATCATTATTATTATTATGCAAACAACTACAATAGTAGGAATATTATCAAAAACAATGTGAATGATCAATTGATTAGTTGGGCACTAAGGCTTATTGAATTTTCTTCGTCCTCCTCGTTTACATCGTTTTCATTGTCATCATTATCGTAATATGCAGAGGGAGACGCACAGGATAGAATGTGCATTAAATGGAAGACGAATTATAAAAAGGACGGACATTGTTCTCACTGTCCACATCATCGTAACCGACATTATCGTCACCATTAGAGTGGTGTTGTATCACAGACGGGGGAGAGTGCATTGTATACATATTACTGATAAACTAAAGCCTTTACTTAGTTTATATTTGAATGTGAATCATTCACCGACGACGAGTGTACCACATCTTCGCCTGCTGCCAACGATGTAATTAAGTCTGGAACATTTTCCCTTGGTGATGAAGCTTGTACAACAAGTGGTGCTGCAGGAGGAGGAGGAGGAGGAGGAGGATTTTCTGCTTGTGTTCTTGTTGCTGCTGAATTGTCTGGTTCCAAATTCAATAGGCATGTAGGACAGCTGAATGAACGCATGAGCCATTCATCAATACATACACGGTGATAAGTATGCAAACAAGGCAGATAGCGTACTTCATCACCTAATTTCAAATCGTTCATACATATTATGCACCTAAAGAGAAATTATAACAATAAAATACAAAAAAAAATTTATATTGATATGTGAATGTGCTTGAAACTAGACTACACAGGTAAAAATTAGTTAGAAAGAACAACGTTTTTGTAAAATCAATACTCGGATATTAAACATACATACCACGGTAGGGCGTATTAAGAAATACAAAAATCCGAATGTAATGCATGGTTCTCTACCGCATAACTTGTGACACACTCAGCAGTGCTTTAAGTATACGTTTTTATGTGGATAGTTCTTATCCTTTCCTAAAAAGTTTCATAAACCACTGATTTATGCTAGAGACTTTTGACTGACAAACATTTCATTCGTTCACCTTAGCAACAGGATATGTAAGCACAGACAGACGCATAGAAGTTCGTATATGCGGCAATGCAACAGGTACACATAAATGCACACCTTGCACAAGACAGTAATCTAACAAACCAAATATGGCATCAAATAGAACTGGGTATACCCAATACAAATAGTTTAATAAAAGACTTTACTTTTGTTTCTCATCTTACCTTGTAATGGCTGACAGAAAAAGAAACTGTTACGTTACCTATAATAGATTTTTCATGTGGTAAGTTATTAGTTACACTAATTGGTTGAAAGTTGCTGATACTATTTAGGTTGAAGTAGATGGAATGCAACTCGAATACGCACTCAAATGACTGAAAGTCAACGATTTACATCACCACCACCAACAACAACAACAACAACAGCATTTAGACTAGATATACAGATCATGTCTAACACAATACAGCCCTGGTGGAAAAGAATGAACATCGCTGAATTTAGAGGTAAATAGTCAACAGTATGTATCACCACGTATTCGTTTTTGCAGGCAGACAGGATTACATAATTCTTGAATTGGACATTAAAGTTGGTTGTTGCAAATTAACAGATTGGTTTAATAACCACAACTTTCACTGTTACACGCACACACACATGAAAAGCAAGCAGATGAAGCGACCACAAAAAAGACAAGTTGTGTTAGCGAAATTTTTATAAAAAAAGCATTATTTTGCACTTGTTTATAAAAATTAGTAGCATAGTTTCCCATAAGGATAATCATTTTATCTTCTGAAAAGCAACTGGTTTAAACCAGTGAGTTCTACCAGCGAAACAGAAACAGTTTTGATAAACCCTATGACACATATAGTAAAATATTGGAATATAACAACTGATAGCAGACACCACATTGCTAAGTCATTCAAAAGAACTAGTGTATTTGAACATATTTATTCTAATTTATTTGTGAACAGCCTAGCAGCATGCTGTTTACTTTCAGTCGAATACAACAATAAAAATTGTCGAATCCATGATACACAATGGCCAACACCACATCTACTCTACCTCATTTTCAAAGTATCAGATTATCGTCTGAATTCGAAATGACTTCGGATGAATTCATATATATATTCACAGTTAATCAAAAAGTTAGGTGTTATCAATCAAGAAATCCAGGCAGTTCCCTCCAGCATAAATCCACAGCTGTTAGAAGACTATTAAAGGTTAAGTAGTTCTGGAGCACACGTTTATCATAATTGCAGAAACTTCAGTAATGCAAACTTCTGACCTGAGAGAAAACCAAACCCAGTAAGTCTACATTTACTGCTCCATGATTTTTAGCTCTTGTAAATTTTCTGTATACAGCAACGGGCATAGAATACCATCAAAAAGCACAAATTTCGATATCCAAATTACTTAACCCCACCAGCAATCACGAGCTGAAGAAAATACATTTTGAAAACATACACTTGTGAGAAATGGATTGATACCAGGAAATTACTTTGGATGATTAGATATCGAGTTAAACAACAACAAAAATTACGAGATAAATGAAGGAAATCATTCATAGCACCTTATACCACTACAACCAGGTCATAAAAATCAGTCGTCTATAATTTGTTTTGTTTGCTGCTACTTCCATTCATTATTATTAATTTACTAGCAGACTTAGTATAATACGGGCATAAAGGAAGGGATTATGCTAGAAGATTCATGAATACTTTTGAACACTTAACTCATTCAGGAAATCGTAAGAAACTCAGTAAAGTGGTTAATAAAGACAATTCAGCAAAGGGCTTGTTTGACATTTTCTAACTTTAATCCTGGCCTTGGTGAGATATCTTGTTTCTTAACAAAAATCGCATACTATATGTCAGTTCAGTCTATCTTGTTCTATGAATGTGAGGCATGGCCGTAAAATATGAGAGGTTTTGTGAAGACTATGAGCCTTTTGCAATAAAAAAAATGTCTATGCAGTACGGCACATATATGTAGGAACTATAAACTGAGTAGTGTTTAAAGTTAGGTGTTGATCACTGGTGGAGCAAATAAAACAATACATTCACTTGTAAATGTTCACAGACTGCCGTGTCTGAAACACTGCAAGGCACTGTATTCTTTTCACATTTATATTTGTTTACCTTAATATAGTTCCATGTTCGTTGACTTTTTATACGTGCCATTTCGCGGTAAAGGCACATGTGTGGTGAGAGCTGTCTACTAGCCAAATTGGTAGACAGGAATTTACGTCAATGTTTACGTTCTCAAGATTTGTCGTGAGAAAATGTGAACAAAGATTGATTCAAAACCGACCACAGCAGACTTTGCGTAGGCGGATGCAGTTAACATATAGATGATTTGACATTCAAGAAACAGTCACAAAGAGATGAAAGATTAACTTTAAGTGAGAAACAACCAATCGGAAGACTGTGTTTCTTCGCTTAACTATCTATAATAATGTACATGAAAATATATAAATATGTGTTGATTTCCTTAATAAATGATCTGTTGCCTGGCCCTTGTCTTCTGTTGTTACATATGGGCAGTAGTACTTTTGTGGCGACCAAGCACTGAAGTTATATATTTATGTTTTTAATTTCCCGTTGATATATCTGACTGTGTGACCTATTAGCTAAGTGGATAACGTCTGATGTTTGAAGTGGTGGGTATTGCGTTCGAGTTTCAGCGGGAACAACATTACCTAATGAGGAAAGACTATACCTAGTTGGCGAGTTCCGAATAAGACGAAACGCGCGTCCTGGACTCTACTGTTCCCCACCACCAAACAATTTATTAAGTTTTGCATTGGTTTCTTCAGTAAATATCAAAAAACAACTATATGAAAGTAGTATGGCTATATGTTGTAAAAATCCATAAAACGAAGAGAAATAGAAGTACAAGAACATTTAAGATGCTACTATACAAACACGGTTGATTATAATTTTCAAACTTATCTTATTTAACTAAGCAGTAACTAAGTAGCAGAGTGAATGGTTTCTCATATTTTTCTTAACAACTTCAATACCGTCAGTTGTGTGCAAATTACTCGATACAACCTCTGAGTACTGGAGTCCGCCAAAGCTTTTCAACCATCCCACATAGGCACTAACTCCAAGAAAAAGTGGTTAGATAGCTAGGTTGCTATAATTTTTTTCTCAGTAACAGTTATACATTATATTCCCTGTTTTAAAACAAATGAAAGAGTTTCAGGACGATATATATATATATATATATATATATATATATATACATACCACTGTTCCTTTGATGATTTTCAAGGAATTACAAAATAAGCAAGCTTGCAGAAAATATCGTCTTAATGCACAACTTATCGTCGATACTATACAGTCTAAAGTTTATAAGAACTATTACTAGAATTTCCAAACACACAGAATGACAATAACTTCCGGATAAAAACAGTGAGGCAGGCAGATAAAAAGAAATAAAAAGGTTATGATGAGAATTTTCGTTAAAATCAAGAAAAACTTATATAAGGCAGTGTCGGCTGGTAGTTGCAGAGTTGTAAGGGAACAGGTTGTATGGTCAGAACTAGAGTATAAAGGAGTAACTAAAACAGCAACAAAACAACTGTAACTAGCAATCAGTAAGTACCAAAGTAGGGATGCAACCAAAATAATATTCAATTACCAGGATTTTTTTTATTCCTTTGTGTTCCGGATGGAACATACGGCTTCACGCATTCCAGTGAAGTTTCATTGGTGGTGGTATTTTTTCGGAGGAGGGGGGTCTTTGCTGTCTTTACCGGTATTAATACCGACTAAGTGAGGTTTGGGAGTGCGTCTGTTGGGAATTGAACCCGGACCATGTACGCGGCTAACCCAATATTGAACCACCGACGAACTATTTACCAGGATGAAGCAATATTCAGTATCAATTGTTTCTCTGCATACTCAGTTCAGTCCTGATTGTGGCGGACTGGATCATGCGGTACACTAAGTGTGAGGAGCAAGAAGGAGGAGTACGGCAGACCAACAGGAAGACATTGAAAGATATGGACTTCGCAGATAATTTATGTCTAACGTCAAACAAACTCTAAGGTCTATATAGGCGAAAACCAACAAGTTAGTGGAAGAGGCAGATAAGACAGAGCTGACGATACCAACCAAAAACAGCATTCATCAATCAACATCAATGGTAGAAATCTAAAGGAAGCCGCCTCTTTTACTTACCAAGGCAGCATCGTCACAACTACAGGAGGCACATATGGGAATGTCAAACGTAGGATCGGAAGAGCAATACAGATCTTCATTGGTCTGAAATCAGTGTAGAAATCTACTGCACATAGTATCAGGAACAAGATTTGGATCTGCAACACTTATGTCAAGCCGGTGATTCTATATGATTTAGACACTTGGCGCGTCACGGAAAGCGTTTCCGAAAGGCTGCTGCAGACTTTTGCCAACAGATAGCTTCGATCCATTCTGAAAATAGGATGGTCAGCCGCAAAGGGGATAAGCGACAAGAAACCTTATCAGGCAAAGAACGAGACAACAGCCTACTGCCCAACCTATGAATATGCAGAATGAAAAGGAGATGAATTGGATATAATCTGAGGAGACATTCAAATGACATTAAATTCCAGGCTCTCGAGTGGAAAGTAAATAGGAAGTAGGTTTCGCGTCCCAGAGTGACATGGAGATCATGTGAAGAGAGAATGAAAGCTTATGGATAATCGTGGAGAC